AAATTGACATGTAAAAATATATTCAAGAATCTTATTTATCATTCGTTCACGTTAAAGATAGTCCCCACTTGGAAGAACAATGTTTGGCTAATCACGTGACTTTGCAGGTCCTCCATCTTGGACCACGAAGCTTATTTATAATACTCTTTATTTTCTCCATTGGCATAAAAACACCGTCCATATGATTTCTTAATAAAAAAGTATAAAATAAAATATATATAAAAAGGACTTTTTAAGTTACACGGTTTTAAACGTGTATATGTATAAACAGAATTAAATAAAAGATAAAAAACTATGTACAAAAAAATGCATTTAAAAAACATAGATAATAATTTTTATTACTATTGGTCATATGTGACTAAAAATAAAATCGTGGGACGCCCATAAAAGAGTTATATTGGATGCCAATCCATTTTATTTTCAGTCATATATATGACCAAGAATGTTGTAATAGTTATAAAAATGATTTTTTATTTCTCAGTGCATTTTTTTTTGTACATATTTTTTTATTTCCTATTTAATTTTTTTATATACACATTTAAAACCGTGTAACTTAAACAGTTTTACTTTATATTTATATTTTAGTTTTGTCTTTTGAAAATTTTATATTTTCCTGTGATGCAATAAAGACTTTATTATTGTTACTAAGATGTCTGCGATAGTCACGTGATTTTGCTGTTATAGGGTCCACGTTTGATGTGAACGAATAATGTACATGTTACAGACGTCTTGTCTTGATAAATCTCTTCCTCTGCCGAATAATTAAGGACGTATCAACTAAGAAGGTAGGAATGATTAGAGCAGCCGTCACGAAATCATGAGAATCGATCGACAATTAAAAACGACGATCGTTGCGTGGGGGACAACGATTGAGTATTTTTCTGAAGTTCCGATCGCGAACAAGCGACCCCTTACTACGTTCCACTGTACACACCCTATACACTCTACATCGATGTAACCCTAAATGTACAATTGTGCACTTGCATCGAGTTGTTTTCGAGTTTGGACACGCGCACGTTGAGCAATGCAGGATTTCTCGCTCTGGACCGATCGACCCACGACAGTTTCGAGATCTGTTCGGTTAGCAGAGGGGGAACGAACGTTCGAAAGTTGTTATACATTAATTGTTACACATAAATACGAAGTGAGATTCGAACGTTGAATCCGTTTAACGATCCTTCGCATCGAGATTTACCGAAACGTAGGAACCGACGTAATTCACTCTTTATACCCTAAAATTCGTTAGAAGTCTCAGAAGCTGTCTAGCAAGTTGTCCCTTTAAAGTACAGTTCGGATATAACTGGACGACACAAATTATAGTGATTTCTGAGGGCCCACTATTTTGGGCTATCCCCAATTATCTTCAATCCTGACCTATTGCTACCTTCCTACGGAAGACAGGACGAGATAGATGGTATTGCCGAATAGGGTGTGATTCTACGAGCAAAAACAAAGAAAAAATGTACAGTAACATTGCTCAAAAGGAAGCTTGCTTTCCGAGAAAATCCAGGTTGAAGATTTACCTTGTACGTCTGCACTTCTATCTATCACTATTGTGTCTGGACATTATTCGTTACTTCTACTTATGATAACGTTTAAAGACACTACCAGTGGTATGATATTACCTGCATTCCACAACAGATTGACACATATTGTCAATAAATAATTAAATCGTCGTGAAGCAAATAATAACACCGAGTCCATGACTGCAAGCAGAAGGAGTCAATGACATCACCAACACAAGTTCACATGCGATTATCTCGAAAACGAAGCTTCGTATAAAAAAATGTTACTCTACATTTTTCATCTCTTCCCACATGTAAACTCATCGCCCGCCGGTTTCTAACCCCCCAGTCACACACACTGTACAGCAAAACAAAAAGATTGTCAAGTACCGTGGCCCAACGTCACACAACACAGCCCACTGAAACTGTGGATCCTCTTTGCTCCTGGTTCTCCATCTCTTCGTGATCCGCGTTCGAGATGCCTCGGCATTAATCTTAATAAGTGTGAATCCATCATCATGTACACGGTTATGGCAATACTCAGGAGAAGTAGGACTCCTCTAAGGGCCCTACCTATTAACGATATATAAATATACACTAGGGAGTCCGCGGATTCACCAGTTACCAAAATCAACGTAGCCGGACACACGAAGGGCGCGGAGAGATGGATTCGTCGTTACCATTGCCTATTCAGACACTTTTTGCCGCGTGTGTCGTGTTTGCAGCTCTGGCTCTCCTCGTCGAACGTGGTGCCCTCTTCGCAGACAAACCGGAAGTCGAGGACCTGCCTCGAGGTGAAGCCAGGGGAGCAATAGTGGAAGAGCCTGCAGTCCCTGTTGTCACCATAGAAACGGTACATCTCCTTCTCCAGGCAATTGAAGGTGTCCTGCCTCCTGAGGTTCGCTAGCTTGCGATGAGGAGGCCTGATGGTCGTCGATACCACTTTTTCAGGCTCCTGGGAAGTGGAAACGTGACTTAAAGGTGTAGTGGACTGGGTCGTGGACTCGGTGACCACAGAGGTCTCTGTTGGAATTATCTTCGTGGAAGACTCAGTCGAGACTTCCTCTTCGGGCATCGTCTGGATGGTGGTAGCTTCATCCTGATCAGGCTCACTGGGTATGGTAGCTAGCGGAGAGACTGTTGTGCTGAGGATTTCCACTTCTATCAGCGTGAAGTTCTTGGGTGTCGTTGACATCTCTGTACTGGTGGACAAAACCTCCTTCGCTGTTTCTTGGATGGCAGAGGTAAGCGTGGATAGTCTTGATAGAGGATAGGGTGTGAAGTTCTCAGTAGTTTTGATTAAATCTTCCTCATCCTTCTTTACATTATTTGGGGACTTCTGCTCAGTGGAACTTGAATCCTGGTCGCCCTTGTTCTTGACTGAGGACTGGTCTTTCTGCATTGGCTCGTTCGCAGGACTTCTCACCTGATCGTGGTCCAGTTTCACTTCCAACACGTTCTCATCGCTTATGCTAGCCTCTGTTGTAGTCAGTGGTGCATCGGTTATTGTCACTGGTGCGTCTGTCATTGTCACTGCTGGCTCTGTTATTGTTACTGGTGCCTTTGTAATTGTCACTGGTACGTCTGTCATTGTCACTGGTATCTCTGTAATAGTCACTGGTGCAGTTGTCAGTGTCACTGGTGCCTTTGTCATCGCCACTGGTGTCTCTGTCATTGTCACTGGTGTCTCTGTCACTTCCGTTGAATCCTCATCTCTGATAGTGGTGGTTAGAACCGTGGCGGTTTGTTTGCGTGCTAGTATCTCCTAGGTTTGATGACGACAGGATTGGGTGTCGTCGTTGGAGGAATGTAATTGTAACTCTTCCTAACTGAAATTGGTTTGAACAACTTTGGAGGAGTAGGACGAACGGTTGTTGTTGTAGTAGTTGTTGTAGTAGTGGATGTTGTTGTTGGTGTTGTTGTCTGTTGCAAATCGATCTCTATACCAGAGTCTTTAGACTTCTCAGTAGCTTCATCCATTTCTTCACTCTCGCCAGCTGCTTCAACTTTCTTGTTCGTTTTCTGATTATCCAGATCATTGGAGTCCGTCGATTCACGTTCCTTGTAATTATCTGGCTCATAGTTGTCGTCGACATAATCGTGGGCAATATTCTCAACAGACTCCGATGATTTCTTGCCGTCTGATATCTCCTCCTTTTTCTCTTTAGGTAGCTCGTCGGTGAATTTCAGGACCCCTTCTGTGCTGTCCTCCTGATCACTTGCGGTTGACTCGTCTTCATCCTTTTCTTCGACAGTCTCTTCCCTGGAATACGGTACATCTTCCGAATTAATATTCTCAGAGGACGTCGCCGAATCGTCTTGTGTATAGTCGTTCTCTGTGCTGACTTCATGACTGCCTTCGTCGAAGGCTTCCGTAGAATCATGATACTCGGACACCTCATGGGAATTAATTTCTTCGCTCTTAATAGTGGAATATTCCTGCGACTCTACTTCCTCTTCGTCTGAGAATTTTCTACGTTTATGGCTGACATTATCTTTGGATGACACTTCGAACTTTATGCTCTTCCCTCGTTTAGAGCTTTTTCTGACGTTATGGGATGCAGGTGTCTCTTCAGAATCTTTCTTGGCATCCTCCTTACTGACAACTGTAGCGGATTCTTCTTCCGCGCTCTCGTGTTCGATAGAAGACTCGTCTTTGTAATAATTCTTCTCCTCCACGGAATGATTGTCATTCATCACGTCAACAGAATCTGACTCTTCACTCGACTTCTCATCAATTGTAGCTTCATCATTGTTTAACGAGGAAATCGTCGATTGCTCCTCAACTTCCAATGGCTTGTCGTCTTTCTCTTCATCTTTCTTCAAGTCTTCTGTCTGCTTTTCCAAAACCTCGTACTCGTTAACATCGCCTTTTCGATTGTCCTTCCCTGTGTTCTGATCCTTCCCACCTTGCTGACTCTTTGCATAACCACTGCGGTGACCCACGGCTCTAATGTCTATCTCTTTGGACGTCTGTGATTCTGGTTCATCGAAAATGTGCTTGTCGATCTGCTCGATCTCAGAATTCACTACTGGTGTCGTGGTCGGCATCTTCTCTTCAAGAACTTTTTCAGTAACTGATTTTGTATGCTCATCATTTTGTGTTTCAGTCTCGTCAATCTTCAGGTCCTTCTTCCTTGAAGATATCTTCCCTGAAAATGATCTGATTCTGGAGCTCTTCCTTTTTGCGTTTGGCTTCCGCTCAGCTCGTTCTTTGGGTCTATCTGTCTTATTTTCCTCCTCAGTCACCTTCTCTGCCTTATCTTCAACCTTCTTGGACGTTTTACTTGGCTCACCCTCATCAACATCTTCCACAAATTCCTTTCCATCAACTATTGGAGACAATTTAACAACTTCAGCCCTATCATCCCATTCCTTTGAATCTTTAGAGTCATGCTTTTTTAATAGGTCATCATTGGTGGGTGATGTGGACTCGGTGGTCTGTTCAGTTGTAGAGAGTATTGGAATGTCTGTAGATGCAGTGTCCTGTTCAGTGACGATTTCAATATTCTCCTGGTAGGAGGATTTCGTTTTAAGGTGCTCGTTTGGATCAAGTATGACAATATCGAGAACACGTTTGCCTTCCGTACGTTTCTCATCATCAGTTTCACTTTCCCTCGACACGTCTTTTTCTTGTATATCTTCCTTAGCTTCGCTAGAAGTCTCAGCTTCGCTGTTCGAGTCTTCATCTTCGGAACTGCTGAAGTCAGACTCAGTCCTTTCATCTTTAAGATCAATATGCTCTTCAGCATCCGACTCCTTCGTATCCGACTTAGCAGGGATTTCAGGATCTTCAGAATACTCATCGTCAACTTTACTTTCCTTCGTGTCTGACTCGTCTTCAGTGTCCTCATACTCCCTAACCTTAAAGTTCTTCGAAGCTTTCACTTCCAGGTCTTCCAAGGACAATTTACCCTTGGCTCTTGCCTTCCCATCAGTTTTGTTCTCTTGCAGACTGCTTCCCTCGAAAATACTACGAATGCTGTCCTCTGAGAACTCCCCACCGAAGAGGATATCTCTGAACTTGATTAGACTCTCTTTGATGGATTTGAAGTCCTTAGCGCCATTATCCACGGCAACATTCTCCCTGTTCCTGGTCTTGTCACTGATGTCCACCACCTGGACCTCGCGTCTTTTAGGAGAATTACCCCCGTACACGAAGGACACCATGGAGTTTTTCGTCTGGCTGGGAGATCTCTTTACTCTCAAAGACGTCCTGCTAACTCTGACACGTCTGGCGTTACGTATCTTCGGAACGTCTCTGTAGAAAGGATCAAACGACTCGTCCCCTTCTTTATAATCATCATAGCTCGCGGGAATCGTTGGCAGAGGTAAAGTGACCAACTGGGTGGTGTTCAGGGGTCTACCTGACTCATCGCTAACGCTAGCTTTAGCGGTAACTATCACCCTGGACTGGGACGGCAGTAAAGGCGACGGATTCTGCACGATTCGCTGGATGTCTGGAGGTGGTAGGTTGATAGTAATTAGATGAGGCTTCAGCTGTGGAACCGGCACAGGTGGCAGCACGTGTATGTGCTGGGTGACCTGCTCGCTGGTGGACTGCGAGGACTGCGTTGGCTTCGACACGCTTCTCAGCGTTGGATAGAACGATCTAACAGTAGTTTCATCAGTTGCTGGGGTGGGCAAGAAGTTCCCAGAAATTCGTTGCTGCTGGGAGCTGTGACTGATCTTCGTTTGCACCGATCGTTGTGGATCCGATGGTATTGGCACCGGCGAGATGGTTAACTTGGAAACCTGATTAGAATTCAAATTGAAATAAGCAAACGAACATAATCACTTATCCAACTTCAGCCTCCTACAGTATTTAATCGAATTACCTTTCCTTTATTGGTCGACTGAACAGCTTCCAGGGGTCTTATATTCTGCTCGTCACTCTCGCGGTACTCTGAAGTCTCCCTGGGATTATTATTATGCAACGTGAACTGCTCCGTGGTGCTGGCGATCCCGTGATTATGGAATATAGGATTTATCAGAGCTGGGCTGTTGGCGCTGTTGCTCAACAGCGTTTGGATAGTTGATGAAGTAGCATGGAACAGGGGAGACACGGTGGAGGGTTCGTTGTGGATAATTTGTGGGGTGGAGGTAGAGCTGAATCGGATCTGATGGACCTGGGGTGGTTGAACAGTCGTCGAGCTAACACCCTGGTTGCTGAACAGCTGGTAGGAGGTAGCCTGCTGGTTATTATTCCTCTCACCATTGTGGAAGATGTACTGGTGATGGTATCCACCATTCTTGTCATCGTACAGGGACTTGGACTGACTGGTGTGGACCTGGGGAAACGGTGGTTGGGGCTGGAAGTGTTGGGGATAGCCTGTTGGGTGCGAGAAGGAGCTGGACCCTGGAGTCGTCGATGGCTTATTGGGTTTCGTGGTGGTGGTGGTCGTCGTGGTTGTCGTGGTGGGTCGTATCGACGTGGTGCGTTGCTGATGGTCGTCTATAGAATCCGACGGGTCGATGTCGTCGTCGTTGTTCTCGTGCAAGCTGCAAAGAGTTTCAAATCAATTTTCCCATTATAACCATAAGCACAATCGCTACCCTTTCAACCACTGCCAGTCGTCACTCAACTGAAGTACTACTACTGAAGCAACCAACGGCCAACCACGTAATTCAACGCGAAATCGAGACGGCTACAAGTGAAAATTGCAAAAGTATCGATCAAAAATCGTAGCATGCACGCAATCGTCGGGTCCACGCCCCTCGATTCTATATCACGCGAGCCAGAACGAAAGCAGGTCTGGTATGTGGACCGGTGCATTGGTCCTTACGAAACCTCGGGGTGAACGTCCATACGGTCGCGGATAAACATTGTGTGCGACAGGTGGAGCGACCAATCTACAAGTTCTAATGATCATTTCACCTGTATATATACATAAATTCCTGGTCTTGGCTTGGGTTACGTGCAGCCATACTCAGACCGGAAAACGTTAACATTATTGAGTGTGAACTCGTTCCTATCGCTGGAGCTAGGTACAGTTAGGGTCTAGGCAGCTATGGTTAGTCGTTTAACCCTAAATTCCCATTGCATCGAGAGGAAATCATTAAGATTCAACTGAAATGAAACTATGGAGATGAGGTGATAGGGTCCGGGTACACTCAACAAGGCGGGAATCTGTCGTCGATACGTTTTTATTATGCGTCGGTCGAGTTAGACGCGTGGACGTACACTCTCGCGCTTCTTCGCCGCGGCGTCACCCCACTGGCACGGGGAGCCCCCGCCGTCAACCCCGCGTGCCCTCCGGGCCGCGTCGCGCGCACCATCGGCTACGTTCAGGGAAACGGCTCGAGCCGTTCCCTTCCGCGGAATTCGCCCTATTACGCAGCGCTCCCCACAGAGATAAGCAAAGTGAAATTACAGTGGCTGCTTTATTATATACTCTGGCGTCTGTGAAGCAATTGCAGCTGTGATAGAGGAAGATTCTACATGTTATTTAGAAAATTCTTGACAGGTGGATCTGTACCTTAGGGTCACCGCATTGTTGCCGTATAGTTCCAGGTTCAGGTTGTAGAATCTCTCGCTCTTGCTACAGTCAACCTCGTCCACCCTTTCACAGACCCTTGTTTCCTGATCGAAGACGGTTCCGTTCAGACAGAGGAATTTTATGTCCATAATCTCGTCTGAAACCAAGTCTCATGGTGAAGGACGGGGCCATTATTCGGGGATGCTCTTCTGGGTCATTGTACGCGAAAAGTTTCAACATTTTTGCTGCTAGTGTTTCTAATTATTACAGCGTTCTGTACGGAGACAGTAAGCTCTACATGAAAATAGAACGATTAATGGCTTAATGAGTGTCGGTAAATAAATGTTAACTATGAATGACCTGATTATTTTTTATTTTTTAAATTATTGTATATTTGTATGTAAGTATGCTAGAATTCCTTTTTGCAATTATTTCAGGCTAGATTGCATCAACCAACCAGTTACGTAGGGAACTAAAAATCTCGATGATTCATGGATCGAAATCAATAAACATCGCTTCTCGATGCTATCACGTAAGACTCGAAACAAAAAAATATTTAAAAAATGATCTCGACGAAAGATCGAATCAAATACGATCCATTCGAGACACGTTACCTCGGGTGATCTGTCGATCGGATCTCGTAGGTGTCGTGACAATTAGAATCGATAATTAAGCGCAGGATCGAGCGTGTAAGGGCGTCGTTGCTCGACAAATCGGTTGGTCGACCGATCGAATGATCGAAAGGTCCGCCCGGGGGCCCGGCCGTAGCGCCGATCCAAGTTTTGTAATCGATCGAGAGATCACTCGCCCGAGAATGTCACGGTCGTCGAGAAACGTTTACTGACCTAAGTCGAGAGTGTTCGACTCGTCACGAGAAGATCGGCTGACTTCGATAACTTTTTATTTACAATTTTTATTGATTAAACATTTTTTGCAACTTCCAAATTTTTGCGTAACAATTTAGCTTCGACAGATCACAAGACGATCGACTGCCTATGAAAACTTTTCTTTTACAAGTTTGATTAATTAAACAAACTTGTTCGCAATTTTCAAAGTTTTGTGAAACAATTTGCCTTCGACGGGTCACGAGAAGATCGACTGACTTTGATAACGGTGTATTCACAATTTTGAATAAATTAAACAAATGTTTGACAATTTCTAAATTTCTGTGAAACATTTTGGCTTCGACAGGTTACGAGAAGATCGACTGAATATGACAACTGTTTTTTACAACTTTTATTAATTAAACAAATTTGCCTGCAATTTCCAAATTTTTGTGAAACAATTTAAGGATTGTAATGAGTGATGGCAGAAATGATGAAAAAAAATAATTATGAACACAAGATTGTAATTTAATTAGTATATTTCGGTAGTCATACACTGAATTACCTTTCTGACCGATGGTGCAGACATGGAACATCTGACATCCGGCTTCAACATCGGCATAGTATCCACCAATCACCTTCCCCTGACACGAAAAGTTCGTTTCCGGCAGGTTGTCGAAGTCCAAATACTTGTAAAATAAATAACAATACAATAAATATCTAAATAAATAACTATTGTTTAAAATTGATTTTGTTTAATTTCTTCATTATTCCAAGGTTTCAGTACTCACGCCAGGTTCCCCCGCGCTGCATAACATGGAGTCATGCTGGAGGTTGAGGATTAACACGAAAACTGCAACAGACGAATCGATATTTGTCAGGTTTACGGTGCGTTTAAAGCAGTGAAAGTGTCGCGCAAAGAGAGGATAATTTTCACGTCAGTGGGAAACCAAAAGAAAACGCTGCGGGTTCAACTCGTGGATAATTTGCTGGTCTAATTTATGCGTTTGCGCAACGTTTGGCGCCCAGGGAACCCTGTTACACCAGTTACTGTTATAATTACGGGCAACTATCGACACGCACCGAGATTGCTGTGAAGTACCAGAATATTCGAAAGAAAATTCAAGCAGAAGTGTACTGTCTCCACTTATTCTCCGTCAAAGCAATTTCATCTCTTAAATTTACAAAATATAAAACAATTGTACATAATTTTAATTTCTAATATATTTAGTAATAAATAAATTTAATTTTTAATAATTTTGCTAGGCTCGTTTTATTTATCCTCAGAATTATTTAAATTGTAAGTTTATAAAATATAAAATAATTGTGTATGCGTTTTAGTAAATAAATAATTTATTAAATTATTTAATTATTTTATTGGTTAATTATTTCTCTTGTTCTGTTTTCTTACTTGAATAATTAATCAGTTTTGATATGTCTCGTGTTAATCCTCTTATTGCAATTATTTGCATACTCGCTACTTGTTTTGTACACGCATAGAGCAAAGTTCAGATTCGCATAAATCTGTCGCTTTTAATATAGATGCAATTATAACGGCCCGTTACCGGATACGCAGAGAGCATTGATTTCAATCGGCCGTCGGCGAAATGATTATTAATAAAATAGAATGTCACACGGTGCACAGAATCGATTGCCGATCGAGCAGTGGCCAGTTGTAGGCCGAGGTCATCGGGTGTAAACATAAGCCATCCAATCAGATTCGTTGCCTGATCCTGTTGATCTCGCGAATCTAATATTTACGATCGAGGTCTTTCGCGCCATTTCTCATGATTACTATATAGTTTATCCATCGATCAAACGATCGCCGATTTACCGTAATTCAACTGAAAGGTTCACTCGAACCAATAATATCAACCAGAACTGTTTAAGTCATCTACAAAAAAAAATAAATTTAACTTGATATCTTTGAAGTAAAAATAAACAATTTTATATTGTGTTAAAAAGAATAGGGAAATGAAGGGAGGGGATTTGTTTGATTAAGAATGAAAGTAAATTAGTTAAGAAACGATATGAGCAAAATTACCGTACGTCCAAATAAATCCATTTCCAAATTTATAAAAAAATTTAATCGATGTTTTTGATATTTTGTATTATTGAACTATGTGAAAAATAGGTGAATAAAAATTGATGGTGTTGGCCGTAGAAGAAAAAAGATTCACGGTCAACACGCCGCGGGCAGCAATTTCTAAAAGAAGATGAAAAGAGACACGCAGTTTCTCGGAACGTGATTGTGGACGATTAAACGCACCGTATCGAAGGAATGATTTATAAAATTTCGATTTCTACGGTGGAATCCCAACGCCTGGGGTCCACGCTTTCCATTTCTCTCTGTCCCTCTCCTTTCCCTTTCTATCCACCTCCACGCAGAGACATCCACTTTTGACACCAATTTTTAACCCGTCATTCGTAGTTAAAGTGTGCCAATGTTTTAGACTTATTTAAATATGTTATTGAAGATACATTCAACAAGAATGTTACATTTTTTTAAACATGTGAAGGTAACTGAAGGGCAGTTGTCATTACCTTGAGAACATCAACTGGAATATGCACAGAAAAGAAATTTCAACAATTTTACAATATTACTACGAAAAAACACTGCTTAATGATGTCACAATGGATAGTATTCTGAAAAACATGAGTCACAACGCACTGATGTCAAGAATCACATAATATACACTGTTTCGATTGAATACAAAATAAAAAAAATCTACAGATTATTATTAAATAACAGTATGTCTATAGTTTGAAATAGACAAAATTTATATAATCTTTTATAATATATTTGCTGATATCTATTGCCTTCTTATAAACACACCGTTAGAGACTGGACACGTGACTGTACAGAGCAGTGGACACGATTCTTACAGCTAGAAACTAAAGGCTCCGCCCAGTTTTAGTTAACCACGCCCACAACCCGTTACACCTGCCTACTATGAGTTAACCACGTCTATTATTTTCTGCTCCCCCTTCTACTATCTAGACACACGTACATTACAAAAAACTAGCTTCATCTATTTTTAATAAATCACGCTTACTATCAGCTAACCACAGCTAGAGTCAACCACGCCTACAATTCGTTAACCACGCCTACACTTAGTTAGCCACGCCTACATTTTGATTCACCACGCCTACAATTAGTTGATCACGCCAACACATTTGTTCACCATGTCTACAATAAGATAACCACGCCTACAATGAAGTATTCACACTTACAATGATTTAACCACGCCTATAATGAGTTAACCACGCCTACAATGATTTAATTACACTTACAATAAGTTAACCACGCCTACAATGATTTATACAATGATATTTCACCTACAATGAACCAGTTCCATGACACAATACTTTTATAAAGAAAATATCAAATATGACGTATTGTGTCTTGCTGTACACTCTGTTACGTCTGGCAAAGATTACGATGTGTCTCTCTACGCTTGCACACAGCAGCTACGTCACGCTGAATTTTCCTTTCCCATTTTTTCGTGCATCCGCACGCAGTGGCACTGAGCAGGCAGTGATATAATCCCTTCAACGCGTAATACCTGTGTGAATCCCGTGACATTTAGATCTGCCAACGAGTCGACCCGATGCTCGTCTTCGCGAGACAACTCATGACAGTCACCGGGGCTCGCCGATAAATCTATCATCCACGGGCATGTAAATAGCGAGACGCACAGGCACGGAACTGACTTACACTGATACGTATCAGTTCGATCGACGATAGATCGTAGATCATCCACCAAATTGCGGTAAAAAGTCATAATACTAAATCGAAGCGTATCGAGCTGAGACATTACACGTCGGAATTTTTATGGATGGGGAAATAAATATATACTTGTTGATCCTCTGACGTGTGGGTGCATAAAATCCTGTTTCCTTAACGAGGCTCGTTTTATAGATCTATAAAGTTCGCCTGATGAGGCCTCTATCGGTCTCGGTCGTAAAATTTATTTATATCAATGCTACAAAACTGACTGTATCTCGCATTTTAACGCAAACAAAAAAGTATCCTCGTGAGTTCCAAAAAAATGACTAAATTTCGAAATTTCTATACACATCGAATCAGAATTTCTTAACCAGGGGCACTGTTCATTTTATTCTCCGTCGATTCAGGTATAATTAACCAGCCAGATCCAATTATACAATTTCTCGATCCTCGTTAGTGAAAGAGGCTAAGGCGATCGAGATGTCCAATCAATTAAGTCAGTTCCAGGGGATCAAGAAGCATCCTCGTTTCTGGCCGCGATGGCGAATGATTATTTAAACATGACAAAAACTGCAGCTTCGATGGCCACATCTTGGTTCATCTAGCTTCGAGATGAGCAAGATTGCGCAATCTCTCCGCTGGATGTGGCAATGTCTCGGCGACGCTACTGTAACGATAATATCACGGTAATGGTTGTAACCGTTACGATAATCGAGCCACGGTTTCTTCTCGTTCCTACTTCGTCCGTTGATCCTCTACGAATACATTCCCCTATTTGCACTACGTAGTCGACACGTCGATTTACACGGTGGTCACAGGTGACCGGCGTGGTGGTCACCGGTGACCGGCACCATTAACGTATCGTCTTAAAATTATAAGTACTAATAAAATAATAATCCAAATAACTTCTATATAGTATATGAATATTTATGTTTCAAAAATAATAATAATAATCAAGGAAAATAATATATAGGCATATTCTATCATAAAATTGTCCCAAGAATAAAAATTTAGGCTGTAAGACGTCGAAATTAAAATAAGTTTAGCAAAACAAAGATGGCGAATAAATGAAACCATTATTTATGTAGTAAATCGTTGATTCAAGGCGGAATCTATAATTATCGATTCTCATTGCGGTTCCACGGAGACCTTTGGTTTAGCCAGTTTACTGGTCCTACATTTACAGCATTGTTTCTCAAGATTTAATTGTCCCATTGTTGATCCCGGTTAAGATCCCCGAGGTGTGCTACGGGTACTAATTGTTCTGTTCGTTTGATAATTTGCAACGTGGGAAGTCCGACTGTTGGGTGGGGGTCCACCGAATGTTTCTGACGCGTTATCTGTCCCGATCACCGGTTATAAATAATTTATTTTTACACACCTCAATTCCATTCCCCTCCATCCAACAGTGAAACATCCACTATTCGGTATTCACGATTTTCCTTTGGAATTAATATTCGTATTTTTGCTAGACAGAAAATAAACTCTTATTCAGTCTTTATCTCTAGAGATAACAGCAGTGATAAATTATTTTGTAGACGGCTGTGTAATACATTATTCAATTTACTAACATTTAAACATCCCGGAAATGTTCGGGTTCGCTTTCACCAAACCGAATTTCATACTTGGAAGACCATAAAATATTAATAATGATCCAGCATTTTCACAACGCTGTCTGACGTTACAGAACGGAGCCAGAATTCCTGACAGTCTTATCATCACTCTAATTAGGTAATTGTCGTCTAGGACGCCTCCGCACTGATTTTCAGATGTAATTACTTCCGGGTCTACGAAAGCCTCTTTGCATTCGCCTCTTCCATCGTGACAGGTCTCATTTTCTTGAAACGCTCCTCGACAAGTTTTAAAACGTGAACAATTGAGATTATGAAAAATGTTAAAATATGAAATATTGCAAAATACGTCTGATATTATTAAAAAAAAACTAGTATTAAAAAAAAAAGAAAAAATAAATAATTTTTGTCGATTAGACAATTGACCTAGATCGACCAGTTCTAGAATGAAATATTCTAGGATAGAAAATTAAGTTTATTATTTATAACAGTGTAATGGAAATAACTACTACGGTAAGAGGATACTTATTAATTAGTAGGCCATGTACTATCATGCTTGGAAACTCGATCGAGGAATTAATGCAGAGGTGCATGTCGAACAAGCCTTCGACATGCATCCGGAGGTATGGCAAATAAACGTTCATGTTTGGTAAATCGCAGGGCGTCACCTTGCATCGCAACAATGCCAACATCTCACTTTGCAATCGCGGCTCAGAGAAAGTTGAGTGTGTATGGGGAATACTAACACACCCAGGGTGCTCATCAAACACTCCACCAAGATATTCCATTACAAAAATATCATTTAAAAAAACAACTAGGCAATCAATTCTGTAAAACTCTGAAAATATGACATGTTGCACAAACGAAGTTTCCTGGACGACAAGTGTTTTGCAAGCATTCCACAATATAGATTATCCACATATCACGTTCACTGAATTGAATCATACACCTATTAGAGAGTTACTCCTCGCTCACCATCATCGACCAATGATGTCTACACAATCGTACGTTACCAAATACAGGGGACATTCGACGAACGAAAATCGTGTAATCGTTGAATAATGGCGGTCGATTAACAAAGACCGCAGGTGCAAGGTGTCCCCCTATCAGCCGTGAATCTTTTCGGAGTACTTTCTCGCGTGGAATTGCTCGAGCGAGAGGATAATGGCGACCGTGTATATGTACACAGCCAGGTGTAGCAGATACAAGGGAGGGGGGTTGGAGGGGATCTGATATTTCCTGCATCGATATATCGCCCACGCTGACGGCCAGTGGATTATCGACGTAACCGCGGATATTCGGTATAAACGCGGCCTTACGTGCGCCCGCGAAGGTGAAAGGTGCTCTTCTTACGTGATTTTACAATACTGCCGCGTGCCTGCCCTTTCGGCTCTAATAAAACCGCGAGGGGGTCGCTTCCTCTTGCCGCGTCCACGATCTTCTTAAACCTTTTGCAACACTGATAGTCGGTAATTAAGTAGCCAGTGATCATTTTTCCTTTCATTATTTTTAGAGAAATATAGTTCTCTCAAATATTATATATGGGTGCCATTTAGGTACCATTTCAGTACCATTTAAGTTCCATTGGGGTAACATTTGGGTGTCATTTTGGTGCCCTTTAGGTACCATTTAAGTACCATTAGAGTGCCTTTGGGATGCCATTTGGGTGTCATTTAGGTGCCACTTAGGTACCATTTGAGTACCATTTAAGTTCCATTTAAGTGCTATTTAAGTGCCATTTAAGTACCATTGGGGTGCCTTTGGGATGCCATTTGGGTGCCATTTAAGTTCCATTTAAGTGCTATTTAAGTACCATTTAAGTGCCATTTAAGTACCATTTAAGTTCCATTTAAGTGCTGTTTAAGTACCATTTAAGTGCCATTTAAGTACTATTGGTGTGCCATTGAGGTGCCATTTGGGTATCATTTAGGCGCCATCTGGGTACCATCTGGGTACCATTTGGATACCATGGGCGTGCCATTTGGGTACCATTTAGGTACCATCTGGGTACCATTTGGATACCATGGGCGTGCCATTTGGGTACCATTTAGGTACCATTTGAGTACCATTTGGATATCATGGGCTTGCCATTGGGGTATCATTTGGGTGCCATTTGGGTACAATTTGAGTACCACTTGGGTGAACATTTCGATTATTTGTTTGACTATTATAGGATATTTCTACTTACACGAATTTTTAGTCAGATGGTCTGGAGTTGTCATTAATATTTGCTACGTAGAAACGGTGAGTATTAATCAGACGTATCAGATTTCATGTATGAAATTGGTTTTTCTCGAAAACGAAGCACCGTACGAAAAAAATGTATTTTTCATTTTTCAGATAATTTTACTCGAAAATTCAGCTAATGGTGTTTTTTATCAATCTTACGACGAACTTTTATACCAAATGGAAATGATGTACTGTATATATTGTAAACAATAAATTTTGCAATAATTTAAAATGTCACTCTTTCTAGTACTTCACATCATTTATCCTAATATTGATACAGATTTATAAAAGTTTGTATTTGATACGTATGGGGTAACAATTACAGTGTTTTCGATAGAGTGTATTAGTGAATATTCCATAGTTACGTCTCTATTTGGTATTGCCCAGAAGAATTTTTACCCCGCGATTGGAATTAAGCGTTTAAGAATCGTACAGGTATTACGTATCCAGCTTCGATGGACGTGGAACGATGTTAAATAGACGTGGCGGAGCATCTGCAATTTCAAGCATGCAAAAAGACGTTCGCGGCACGTTTGGGAAAGGACAAGACATTCGCGGGGAAGAAAAACAAGATCCACGGAGAATGAAAGTGAAGGTGAGCAAAGAAACTGACGAACGAACCGTTGCAAAATCCCGCGGCGTGATGGCAAAAGGACAAGAAGGTCGTAATTTGGCCGATACGTCACCGCTTTCTAACGATTATGCTATCGCGACGCGTCCGTCCGCGTAAATGGAGCGATGATACAACACATCACCTGTGATTACCTCGAAAATCCGAATCTTCGAGAAAACATTTATAAAACAACAATTTTACTAAACAAATACACTTCCACATTGATTTTTATGTCTACTACATTATACTACAGGCAAAAATGAATCAAAAAGGTAAAATACTATTTTCTCGTACGAAGCTTCATGTCCAAGAAAATCCAGTTTGAAAATTGGTCAGAAATGTCTGCTCTAAGGTGTCTGACTCTTACTCGCCATTTCTACTTGTGACTTATAATAACCTTATATTAACCCTTTGCCAACCACCAATATTAGACTGTTGCCGTCTACTCTTATCGCTGTTTAAACGAATTAAAATATATAGTAATGCAAAACAATGATCAGGTACAGGAATTAAATGCTAACTCTGGGCATGACAAATACCTAAATTGGATTTTCTCGAGAACAAAGCCCCGTACGACAAAACTTCATTTCACCTTTTCGCTTCCTTTTTGCTCGTAGAATATCCCTATCCTCGTTAGTGTTACCAAAACAGCCTCAGATGGACGGAATCGGCGACTAAGTCACCGCCGAGGAATGCTAACCTCGGAAAATATTATTCCTTTAGGCCACGGACCCCGGCTCCTTTTGGAGGAAAGAAAGGAGCTCGCCTCCCGACAATTAGAAAGAAGGTTCATCCAGCCTCTTAAATATTTATGAGGACGTTCCTCAGCTCGAGAACCGGCCCGCCAGCCGAATTCTTGTCCTTTGTGCACTTTCACCTGATCGGACCCCGGCCTCCCGCTTGTTTCCTGTAGTCTCGCACAGAGGAGCATTGATGTATTAGAAACTCGGCAGCTTTTTACCGGGACCAGACGTCCCGCGGCCCTGACTGCCGTCAAATATTTACCCAAAGTGGGCCCCCTCTATACACTTTGGATCAGGAACAATGGTCCCTTTATAAAGCCTAACCGGTGCAGGCTTGCTTGTTGTTAGCTAGATCCCCATAATGTTGTATTGTTGCCCTTATTTTCTTGTAATTCAGAATTTTCTTACCTAAAATATTGAGACTTCTATAAATGGTTCTATGTAAACATTAGCGAACCAATGTTAAGAGCGACGATGTTGATCTTTAACTTCCCTTGGAAAGCACAAAAAGGGTCATTCTTCAGACTTCTATGTGCTCGTATAAGGGACATTCTTCAGTAAACGTCTTCCATAAACAGAGTTCATTAGCATAATTCTGGGCAATCAGACCGGAGCGTGTTTGCTCGACGGAGTAGGCAGGCGATGTCAATCCAGGTCAAATAGCAGCATCAAGTAGTGCGATTAACGTTTAGAAAACAACATTTCTTTCGTATGATCGCCTGCCTCCTGGACTGTTACTCTGTTTAGCAGCTATAATGACGTATGATGGCAACTAGCTGGTAGCAAAACCTTTCTTCAAGATCCTCTAATATGCATAACTTATCTATATATTACTTAACGTGTTTACAATGTTTATTGAGACTGTTAATTTCAATATACAGGGTGTCCCATTCAAATCGACCCACTTAAATATCTCCGAAATTATTGACGATATTAAAACAATGTTTCGGAAAAAGTTAAATGGTATCAGAGGGTACACTTTCTGATGTGAGTAACTTTTTTCTATGTGGACGCGTAGGGGTTATATGAAGGTCAACTTTGTTTTTTTTAAATGGAATCGTATATTTTTTATGCACTATTTGATGCTACTTGTTATTCCCGACATAAAGTACCAAGTCCCTTATGGCGAATTAGTGCATTAAAAAATATACTATTCCATTTAAACAAAACAATTTGGGTACCATTTGGTTACCACTTGGGTACCACGTGGTTACCATTTGGGTGTCACTTGGGTACTATTTGGGAACCGTTTAAGTACCATTTGAATATCATGTGGTTACCATTTGGACCCTCTTTTAGGACACCCTTATAATATAAAACATTTACCGAATTAAAAGTGAACATACATTTCACCAGAAGAGCTATTATAGTTTCAATATTCGGTTTGGTAATTCCAGTGTCACGACCTTTTAACACTGATTCTTCCTTCTTCACGGTTTGGTAGCATAAGTGTTCGTTGACTTACGGATAAGAGTTTACTGTGTTTCGCCGTGGATAACGTGAAAATCGGCCGAGTTGCCTGCGGAACGGCAGTTTCGTAACGCGCTCGCGCGATTTCATGCGATCGCCGCGAGTTAACCGTGCACCCAGGCGGACATTTTTCCAAGGCGCCGGCTTTCCTGCGCGATTTGCATACGTTAAAAGGGAGAAACAGCCGCCACGTGGACGAACGTACACAACCGGACGTTCTCATATTCGGCCGAATACTTCGCGGATTCTTTGGTGATTTCGACGCCTGGGGGCTAGTTCCAAGCGATAACACTAGTGGTCGCTTCCGCGGACCGAGCCAATATCGATAAAAATTCCAATCGGGATTGGAATTTTAGCGATTACTAGATTTGTATTGCGGAAACTATTAAATCTAGACCTGACAAGACTATGTAATAATAATAACAATAACACGGTATTTATTACGTCATAATAATAGGATATTACCTAATGAAAAATAACAAGAAAAACAAATAGTTGTGTAACGACGAGGTTCACTTAACCTAAAAGCATCGATTATGGTTTATTCCTGCTTTTATGTTGGATATTGTGAGTGACAGTGGATTTTTTAGTACTATTTTCTAGAAAACAGATTTGATAGATTATTTTATAAATGGTAAATTTAATGTATTGTACTAATGGACTATTTTGTCCACTTTTTATCGAGTATTTTACGAAAAAGTGATTTAATAGACTATTTGACATAACTTGGACGCGGTGGACTGTTTTTTAAATTTTTATGACCATTTTTACAAAAACCCGATTTGACTGATAAACTGTTTACCAGAACCCAAAGTTAACGAACCACTGATAAAAAAATAATTAAAATTTATTATATATATCAAATTACATAATAAACGTATATTATATAATTTAACATATGTAATAAGTTTTATTTATTTTGTTATCAATATAATATATATTTATTGTTGATAAAAGAGTAATTAAAATTTATTATATATATTAAATTATATAATTTAATAACAAATTATAATAAATGTTAATTACCTTTTTATGAATAATAAATCCATATTATATAATTATATATAGATTAAATTATATAACCAATTGAAGATTTTACTAAGTCATAAATGGAATAAAAATGAACTTGACTTTTACCTACCCCCTTCCTTCACCACGTTCTATATATCTGTATGTAATAGGAGTGCACACAATCCGCAGTCCAATCATGATTAATCTCAATACACGTTAATTTTCGACGGCGATTGTGGTACACCCCTGGTATATCAACCAGGGAACGTGCGGGCCGAGTTAAAGACCCCGACGTCCATTAAGTGAAAATAAAAGCCGACGTGCACGCCCACGTGGGCTTATGCCCATGCCTTTCACGCGACTGAAACCGACGGCGCGGATTTTTGCGTTCCGGGCGCACCGAGCCGAATCGCCCTCCCGGCGACAGCCTTTTTCCTGCGTCGAGGAAAACCACCAGTTCTCGCATAATTTCCTACAATTAATCTAACGATTCGACGTTAGATAACCGATCCACAATCAACGATACGAACGGACGTGAAGACTGTCTCAGACGACGCGTGGCTCGGCGAGCCTGTCCCCTAAACGGTGACTGGTGAACCCAAACAATTGTTGAATTTCGTGCTTTTACTTTTAGCAAGCCTGGCCATTAAAGGAGAACAATCACAGTTCGAGAATGTTTTTTTTTCGTTAATCCTTTAACCCCCAAATTAACTTTTGCTAGCGAGGATCTCTAGTTGCCAATAATAAATAAGAAAATAAATAATAGGTCTGTTTAATATCAATATTTTATACTTCAAAATAAGAAGGTACAACATGTATATATATGACTCACGATTTTGAAATATCGATTTAAAGGTCTGAGCGTTAAGGGTTAACCCTCGAATGGTAAGTTGGGATCAGATTCGACCCGAATTCTTTTTCGTCATTTTCAGAGGGGTACAAAAAATGATTATCTTGAACTTATTATTTTTACTTATTCATATAATAAAGAATAATAATTAATTTATATAATATTTAAGTATTAAACATTTAGTAAATAATAAAAAATATTTTAAAACGAGAATATTACAAAAATAATAAA